CCATAGTAGCCCCAGTAGCAGGGCCTGTTCATGGGGCTGGCCCATGGCTAGCACCTGGGAACTTGGCTTTTGAAAGGTTTCCTAAGCCATTGACTGACAAGGCCTCTCTGCCCTTCTCTAACACCAAGGTGCACTGTATCTTCAGACAGTATAGTTTATAAAGAGCACCTGTTTTCCATAGAAGAGCCTGGAATGCTAACGGTAATAGCTGGCAGAACAGGCGGTGTGCCCACAGGCACAGCCCACAGCAAAGCCCTTGTGCTCTGAGGCTCAATAGGGTTCCCCTGGGCAGAGGCATGGAACACAAGTTACTGAACTGCTCTGCTGGAGGCCAGAGCTAGTGCCCTGAGGCCACACAAGAAGCCTGTGTTGCCATTTCTCCACCCCACCCACCTGATCTCTTGCTGATTCTTCAGTATATTCTTTTTTATATAATTAAAAAATTTTAGAAAGTCACATGAGTATCATATTTACATCATTTCCACCCTCCTCTCCCTCCTCTAATTCCTCTTATGCCTCCTCATTCCTGACCGCTTTCTTTATTGTTTTATATATATAAATATATAGATAACACACACACACACACACACACACACACAACTTACTGAGTCCATTTAGTGGTGCTAGTAAGTACATTTGTTTAGTGTTCACCACTTGGGATTGGGTCGTCCCTGGAAAAAAAAGGATTCTCTCCTCTCTCAGCAGGCATGGATTGCCTACAGCTCTTCATTACTGCCTCCACCTCCCAAGGGCTGGGGATTATAGGCGAGTGCCATCACACCCAGTTTATATGGTACTGGGTATCAACCCTAGGGCCTCAAGCACACTAGGCAAGCATTCCACCAATTGAGCTATATCTAGAGCCAAAACAAACTCCTTTCTAAGGCACAGTGCCTGACAGCTACTGCCTAGTTGGGCAACCTTGGGAAAATATACTAAAGGCTTTGAACCTTCAAATATTTCACTGTAAATTTGTCAGAATAATATCAATGTCACAGAATTATTGGGTTTTTGCATGCACGCATGCACGCACATTTGTATATATATGTATGTGTGTGTGTGTGTGTGTGTGTGTGTGTGTGTGTG